CCTATCCTCCCTCAGCTTGTGGCCATTGTTCCTGGTGACTCCAAGGGGGGCCCTGGTGAACTGACTTTCCCCAAGTCCCTGTTGGTGGCCCCTGATAAGGTTGTAGGCAACCACAAGATCCCCCCGCTCAGTCTCCTCTTGTGAAGACTGAAGACATTCAGGTCCCTCAGCCCCTCCTCATAGGGCCGGCCACAGAGGCCCTCAACCATACAAGTGGCTTCCTCTGGATCCTCTCCAGGTTCTCCATGCCCTTCTTGAAGTGCGGTGCCCAGAACTGGACACAGGACTCCAGCTGCGGCCTGACCAGTGCTGCATAGAGGGGGAGCAAGACCTCTCTGGATCTATTAGTGATGCCCCTGTTGATGTATGACAGGGTGCGGTTGGCTCTGCCTATTGCTTCGTCGCATTGGCGACTCATATTCATCCTGGAGTCAATCCTGACTCCAAGATCCCTCTCTGCCTCTGTGCTGCCGAGAAGGTCAGCCCCTAACCTATAACAATAATGCTGGTTCCCTCTTCCCAGGTGCAGCACCCTGCACTTGTCCTTGTTGAACCGCATCCTGTTCAGATCCGCCCACTTCTCTAACCTATCCAGGTCTGCCTGGATGCGGTCCCTGCCTGCTGGTGTATTCACTTTACCCCACAGCTTGGTGTCATCGACTTCCTCCTTCACATCTAAGCTCTTTGTTACCTGGTCACAGAAAGAGACCAGATTAGTCAGGCAGGATCGGCCTTGCATGAACCCACGTTGGTTACCCCTCAACATCACTTCCCTTGCAGGGCTCTCACAAAGGTGGCCCTTGATAATTTTTTCAAAAACCTTCCCCAGGATAGAAGTGAGGCTGACTGGTCTGTAGTTGCCAGGCTCTTCCTTCCTCCCCTTCTTGAAAATAGGGACCACATTGGCCCTTTTCCAGTCCCACAGGGTCTCAGTTAAGCCTTCCTCTGGTCCCATTTGGAAGGTAGAACTGGTATACTGTTCCCTAACATAGAGCGCAACCCCCCCACCTTTTTCCCCCTTCCTATCTCTTACAATTAGTCTTTAAAACATACTCTTTTTTTTTTAGCAGGTGCCCAGAACCCACAGACTAGAGGGTGGCAACCTACAGCCTTCAGGCTGGACGTAGCCCAGGAAGGTGTGACCCAGCCTGCTGCAGCATGAAGATTGGGAGGCACGCCACTGCACAGAGCCACTTGTCCCTTTGCAGCACCCTCATCTGCAGCCATCTCTGTTGCTCTCTCCTGCCTGTGCTTACTCTTACTGCAGAGGGGCCAGGTGTCTGCAAACATCTTGAACTTTCCAGGGGCAGAAATTTACAATCTGATAGCAAAATGGTGCTGACTCCTGCCATAGAAAATAACACTGGAAACAGAGACTGGGCATGCGTAGTATAATAGTGAAGGGCCATCAGTCCAAGCATTAATTAGTTGTTTAAGCAGCTACTGTCTTGAAAAAAAGTCTTTATTCCAAATAGCTACAGGACTGCAACCAGTTCATACTGTTCCACCACTGATTTTTTCAGATGGTAAAAACAGCTGCACCTTGATGCAGTTTTTTAATACACTCCTTACTCCAGGGGCTCTCCTAGCCATGCACACATTAATTCTGATCTCTAAAAATATGTTTTCAGTCTTGAAAAGCCAATGAATGGGGTAGGAAGAATAAAAAAGAAACCAGAGGGGAAAAATGTATTTGACCGTACCACAAGTTTGGTTTCAAATGACAACTACATTCAGATAAAACTATGAAGTAAAATTTATAGATAAAATTATTAACCGAACTAATTTTCAAGTGGGTCACAGGGGGAGAACTTACCTTAGCATAAGTACTTACACAAGCTTAGCTACAGCCAAGGCTCTCGCAGCATCTGCTGATCCCTTTGGGGTAAGAAGGTTATAATCATCAACACTGTAATACAGAATCAAGTGAACGGAAACACTCTGTACAAGTGAAGACAGTATACACATTTTACATACACTTTAGAGTGTGTATATTTATAATATGACAGTACAATCAATTAGTATACAGCAAAAAAGCCAGTTAAAAGCATAACTGAACTACTGAACTCCAGTATAAAACTTAAGCATACTATCTTTGTAGTATCAGAACCTAAAATCTGACAGAAATATTGAACTGCATGTTACAAAACCGAATGTTCATTTCAAGCTAATTATCAGAAGTATTTTTATATTTATTGAAATCACATTTTCCTCACATAGGCATTTTTTTATTTGAAACACCATGATGCTTATATGTGCCTAAACTAGTGGTTCACAGCCTTTATGGATTCAAGACACCCCTCAGAAAACTCCAGCTCTTGCTTTTCACTGTTTTTTTGAGTACAGAAGAATAGAGTTATTCTTCTGTTGCAAAGAACTCAGACAGCCCACAACAGACCAGAATGTTTTTGACTTTAAAGATTACTCTTTGAAATCTCTGGGTTTATCATGTGAATCACATTTGTAAACCTAACAGTTACTACTACATAGCACCCTACAACACCCTTAAAAGGATCTCAAGGCACACCAGAATGCCAATGCACCATGGTTGAGAATCACTGGCCTAAATTAAGACATTTGAGCCCCTGCCAGACATGAAGGTGTGATGGGATTGGATGTGCAATCCATACAACTGTGCTTCCTGCCATGCTACATGTACTTGGCAGGAAGCATGATTATGGGATTGAACATCAGAGCCCACCACACCTTACTGCTGGTGCAGGGTGAGCCTAGTGTGATCTGATGGTTGGGATCAGCTGACAGGGCTGTCAGCCACGGGAGTGCACCTGGCCACATGCTCAATTAATAGAGTAATAGGAACCACCCACAAAGTTATTACACATGTTTTTGTAGAATACATTTGTGGCTTATTCCTTGTTTTATGATGCCATTAATTGATTACCATATGGCTGGGTTACAACTTAAGATATGACTAACTGGCAAATCATGTATTAAGTGTAATAATGTGTGGCAATGGCCTTATCATAATGCTGCAAACTTCATCCACTTCATTCCTTCCTGTGTTTAGTTTGAACCTTGTTTATAAACTATTTGGGCAAGGGACTGCATCTTTTCTACATTTTGGAAGTAGCAGGCACAAATATAGAGCACTACTGTAATCAGGTATAAGCAGGCATAACTAAACCAATAACTGTCATATCTCTCCAAATGGTGCCACCTCTTCTGTAGAAAACGTATTAATATAGCACGCTGTTTGCATGATTTCTAAACTAGTTGTATATAACACAATCAGCATTACTTTCCAAAAACATTAAACCCCAGCTGAAAAACCTGGGACCTGCTAACCCCCAACACAGAGTTTAATGTAGACATACTTAAATAATATAGTGATGGACAAATTAAGTTTTGAAATTAGAAAGGTAACTGCTGTTTGTTTCTTACCATTTGAAAGACAACACTGTCTCTTTCTCTCTCACAAGTCCTGAAAACAACTCTTTCATTGGGAGCTACAAAGTCCACTGTGCCAAGTATATCTGCATGATATAGGAGAAACACACAGACATGGGAGAAAAAACCCAACAAATATAATTACACAACAGCCACATAAAGCAGTTAAAAAACTCACAGTACATATAAAGTAGATTCTACTAAGAAACTTCAGAAGATGTAGATATCAACGTCAGACCTTAAAAGCTTATAAAGTGAGTTTTGATTGAAAAAAAATATTCTTCTCTATTTTTTTGAGAATAAGTAGTAAGTTCTCCTGAATAAAATATTCACTTCTGAAGCTAACATGAATAGATTTAAGTTCCAAAAATGTTACAGAAGACTCACAAAAATCTATCCAGGTCTAATCAAACAGTTAAAAGCCAGCCCACATCCCTGTTAGGAATTGATGGGAGTTCACAGCACAGAAACAATGCAGAGCTGAGCCATACATGTAAAATAAACTAGACTTAAAATTCTATATATATAAATGTACAGTTGTCAGAGTCAGTCTCCCATCTTTCACTCACTTGTGAATCAAAAGTGTTAAAAACTGAAGAGCAAGTAAAAACATTGAAGAGTAAAATAAACTTTAATTCTAAATTTCCTATTTTGTGAGTTTGATATAGTAAGCTGTTATTTATATTAAAGAACACACTTGTTAATGAAAGCAAATGAAGAAAACTAATTACAAAGGAAATATTTTCCCTAAGTGGCTAGAGCAAATCTTTTGCACTATCAGTTAATGCTAAAATCTTCCAAGGGCTACAGCAGGGTAAAGATTTGTTTTTGTTTCTTGCCTCTGCATTTTGTGCAATTGTATACTACCATAGTGCTCTCTAAGCCAACCAGGATTTTTAAGTGGAGGCAGGCTATCAGACAGTGTGTTCTTACCAATGGAAGAAAGACATTGACAGCTGTCTTGAGTACTGTTTCCGATGTGGTTACCTAAGCAGGTTTAAGATACTGTACTGATTTTGGTCTGTAAACCTTTAAATGGCTTGAAGTCTTACTGTTTGAGGTACTGTCCGTTTGTCTGTCTTGTTTCAAGGGAAACTATTACAGCTACTGTGGAAACACTGGAATGTATTTACATCCATTTAAATGCAAAGTGGAAGGTAAAGCACAGATCCTGAGGGGGACCCTGCCTTTAAAGTCTACCCATGGACCAACCTTATCCTGAAATACAAAAAGTCACTGCTGATTTTCAGAGTAGCCAAGCCTCTTCTTCCTATTTCCCTTAACCATTCACAAATTGTCCTCAGATGCCAGCAGCACTGTGCTGGTTCTCATAAAAAGTAGCGCAAAGGTTCCTGAGATGAATCTGAGGACTGGCTGGTATAGAGATGAAAATGAAATCATAGAAGAAAATGGCTCTATGAGAACTTGCAGAAGCACAAAAATGAAACTGCTTATAGTTAAAGTGATGATAGAACTTGCTGGAAAACAATGATTTTTCCAGCAAATATAAGAGAACTGTAAACTGATCTCAAGGATTAGCTGGAATGTTAAATAATTGTATTAGGCAGGAGTGATCTTTGCATGATTAGCTGACAGATACCACCTAGAACAACCCAGTGACAGTTTATTATAAATACAAATGGAAGACAAATGAACACATTTCTGGAAAAACAAATGAACATTTTTGCTCTCTTTCAGCAAAATGTGAATAGTAGTCATCAAAGGACACATTACTAACAGAAACTCCTTAGAAATCAGGATTACCATATTCAGGCAATACTGTTAGGACTGAAGTACCAATATTTTCACGTTATTTAAGACCAAGTATAAAGGCAGAAGAAGTGCTTTGACCCTTGCATACATCTTCCACACAGGGGTGAATTTCCTTTCAGTGCATAATTTAAGACTCAAACTTATTCTGCTTTTAAAAAAATCAGAAAGCCTTCTCAATCAAACTTTTAATGCATCACAGGTAATTCCACAGTAATTTATGTAACACAGTTCCACAGTTGTGCATTAAGACTTATGATCTATCTTGTTCCTGCTCCAAATTTTCAATCTTTTCACTCCAGTACTTGTTGCTTAACTTTTACAGTGATGCAACACTTGTTAATGTAACAGGCATCACACAAAAGTGAAAGTCACTACTTTAAATGAAGACACTGAAACCTAAATGTTGCCATATACCTTGTTAACCATTTCATTTCTTTTCAGTGACTTGCTACTAGGCTGGTGGTGCTCTACTTTTTGGCCCCAAGGACTAGATGAACAGCATGGGGCCAGTCGGTGGGCCAGATTTGACGCTGCGCTGTCTTGCCAAGACTGGGCCCTCAAATTGCCTCCTCCCGTCCCCACAGTCTCCCCATCTCCATGCACCCAGACTGGACCCAATGCCATACTGCCCCTGCCCAGCCCAGCCCAGCCCAGCATGTTAGAACTGGGTCCCACACCGCCTCCACCTGGCCCAGCATGCCCAGTATCATGCAGGGCTACATTATCCTGCCCGTGGGGCTCCCCACAAGTCTGTAAATTTGGCAGCAGGCAAGCAGCAAGTACTGACATCGCTTCTGCACTGCCAAATATTCTGACCCACAGAGAGCCCTGCACGATGGATATGGCCCATGCGTCGGGAGTTAAGAACCCCTGTACAAGAGCATAAACACTTAGAAGAACCCAAATCACAACCCAGTTTGCTATATGATTCCACATGAGTTAAATATGGGCCTTCTTGGATTGTACAGCTACTTTCTTGTGAAAGTCACAAAAAAATATGTACCTTAAAATAGTATATAGACTGGTTCTGTTTTAAGCCTGATAAAAAGGAGAGAGACAAGAGAGCTCCAATTTTAAAAATTATAGGCACTGAATGTCCCTTTAACCTACTATATTAATGGTAATAATTTCTTGCCGTAAGTTTATTAGCAAAGGTGCTTTAGTACTTGTTTCATGACATAATTTAGCTACTTGCTTCCAGGCTGAAGACTATGAGCTTTAATATCCTTGATCTTAATCAGAAAATCAAATTAGCATAGGTGGTACAGTTTACTAGATTTATCTCAGTTAGGTTATTGAGTAGAAAGCTCATTCATTATTAAGGAATTTGGCTATATAAAGATAAAAGGCACACTATGCATTTAATACAATTAAATGCATCGAGTGATCGTGCAAAATGATGATTGTTAGTTAAAATGATAAATCATAAATTGCAAGTAAAAATACATTGGTTTATTTGCAACTTTTACTTTGCACACCTGTTCCTCATGTGTTTTCAACAGAACTGGTCAACAAATAAAAGCATAAGTCACTAATTCTGATGGCTTAAGAAAGGAAGAGCTTTCCTTCAAAAAGGCTTCATTCAAGCAGTCAGGACTCATGGTAAAGGTGATATCTTTTATTAGACCAACTAGATTTTTGCAAAAAAAAATCTGTAATTGCAAGCTTTTGGGCACAAACACCTTTCATCAGGCGTAGAAGAACAGATTGCAAAAGTTCTCCCGGGTAGAAATGAAAGTTCATATTTCATAGGAATTCACAGAGGAGTCAATAGATGACTACTCTTCTGGGCAGGCATTTCCTATCTGGTAAGGTGTCTGTCTCTGAGCTCTGTGATAATGCAAATTACCTGTGTAGAAGTAATTAGCTTACTTGACTAGAAAAACAGACAAAGACCAGATGTACTGATACTGCTCTGAGATAAGGAATCTGCATTCCTGCATGCCTTGGGTTATCTTGATATATTGCGCTATACATAGATAGTTTGTTTAAGTAAAACTTTCTAAGTTTCTGTGTAATTTACTATTGTTTTGTTTCTCCAAGGTGTATTTCTTTATGTCTTTCTCTGTCTTAAGTATAAATACGCTTGTAACCTTAGAGAGTCTGAGAAATCCTTTGAAACAGACAAGTGGGTGATTCCCCTTGCTGTATGGAATTCTCCCTGTGATCACAGTATAGCCCTAAATAAAGAAAAGCTGGCTCCGTCAGTTCTGATTCAACCACAATGCGAAGTTTGATTTCTTCCACACCTGTGATGATGGAAAGTGCACTAGAACACACCCAGGTATACAGTGCAGCAGCAGGGGCCAAGCTCAATGTGAGCAAAAGCACCTAACTAGTCCTGGGCAATCTCAGGGACCCGTCGCCCCTGGGGGTATCCGTCCCCCCGCGAGGGGGTAAAGATCCTTGAGGTGGAGTTTTTCACAGCTGACAGGACAGAGAGCATGGGAAACGGTGGAGTTCAAAGCCAAACAGAGGCTGGGACTATGGCACTCATGCTGCCTCTCAACGGGGGTGCGCATGTTGCTGATGGAGGTGGTGCTTCTGTCAATGCTCCTATATACCACCCTAGTCTTCCCTCACTCAGAGCAAGTCATTCGCAGACTCCAGAGAGCCATGTGTATTTTCTTTTGAAACGCCACATGGGAGAAAGTAGCAAGGACCAAACTGTACAAAGCGAAATGGTCCAGAGGCAGAGAAATGCCAGACATTCTACTCTTCCTCTGGGCCAAGTACAACCCAGGTTTACACAAGGCAAAAGGGGCAGAATCCGAAACAGCTCACTTTACTGTATTTTGCAAGGCAGCTGCTCCAACAGTGGCAGGAGTACACATGACCAATGGGAGCTTGTGGACCCTGGTGTCCCCATGGTTCTATGAGGTACTGAAATGTTTCTGGGAAAAATACAAACTGTATGACATGACTCTAGTGACCCTGGTTAACGATCACAAAATACGGGAGGCGGTAAGGGCAAGAGACATCATAAGGGCAAGAGAAATCACATTGCCTGTGGACTTACTACCTGGTAAAAGCTGCCAGGCTGTGAGAGCAAATCTTTCACAAGGACCTGCTTAAAGAGCACAGATTATATAAGTAGGGACCAAAATGCTGCTTAGAAGTGTACTTATGGAATATCTGTGCTAAAACTTGCAGCAGTTTCAAAAAAGGTAAAATGCATCAATTCTGGATGAACTAAGTCTATGGGTACACATATTAAGTTGCCTATAGGCCTATATGCAAATTACTACAGGCATGTTTTATTTCAAGGTCACTGTTTTCAAATCTGTTCCTCACTTCCATGTGCTCTGGGATA